ATTACTTTTTCGTCAAGCACTTTTAATAATTAGATTTCTACTATTTTATATAGTCATGATATGGTTTACAAGATATTGCCTTAAACAAAAAAAACAAAAAAAAAGCCCGCTAGGCCCGCTAAGCCCAGGACCATATGAGCTTAGGCCCGTCATGGGCTGGTCTCACTCGTTGAGCCCATGAAGCCCGAGACCGCCAGGCCCGGGACCGCCAGAGCCCAGAACCTCTAAGCTCGGACCCGTTAAGCTCGGCCCATTAAGCCCAATTAGGCTCGGGCCCGACCCGCAGTGCAGCATTAGGATGAACTTGTGTGGAAATTCCCCTGTTATTAGGATTTCAGTTAAATACAGTGACAGTGTAAAAAATAATTATATGATCATCGTAGTATATTATAGCAAGTTACAATTTTATTAGATTACCAATTAATGCTATCACAAATATTTATATGTAAATAAATACATTACAAGTGATTTGATTGTGTAAATATGGACATCGTTAGTGTATAAAACTTTAAGTTTCATTATTTTGGTTGTGTAGTTTCTCGTCAAAGAATTCGTTCCCTGCCTCTCTTTCTCTTATCTAGTAAGTTGAGCTAATTTAATATCCATTTTTTTCTTTTCTTTAGGAGATCGTTATATGCACTCCTTTTTTTTAACTTTATATACAGACAGATTTACCAATTATGCTTTAATACTATTCTTTTGTGTAATGAAAGTATAATCTTACATTTTATTTGAATCATGAATTTGATAACAGAATCCACCATTTCAACTCCTTCAAAAGATTCTTTGCACTGGTAAAAAGACAATAAAAAAGTTAAAAATAAAAATTTTAAAATTTGAAAAATAAAATAAAGAAAGACAAGTTTAAGGTAGCCTAGAGAAAAAGTTTCTCTTATTTAATTTGTATTTTTTGTTCTTTTTTGTCATTATTATTTATATGATGATGTAACTTAAAGAAGTTGAATGACATGAACAGGTTACACTCATGCGTCCAATAATAAGAAACTAAAATAAAAATGAGACAAAAACTTTACATAAAATAGATGCAGAGGGGCATGGGGTTGCTACTTACCATAAGAAACTCAGCATTCTTTCATCAATGCCACTCATGTTTCAAATTCATTTAAAGCTACATATCCAGACATATGCGGCTATTTCAAGATATGCTTCAACCAACATGATGTTTATATGCAGCTATTTCAAGTGCAATAATTTGAAACAACCTATCATGTTTCTGCTTTTGAAACCTTTGAGGGAAATGTAATGTTGGTCGCTTAGTTTATCCCTAGATTCCACTGACTCATTTTCTAATAGTCTTCCTTCTTCTTTTGTCACTCTTCTTTTTCTTCTCAACCTCATTCTCAAAAAAACTTCTTAACATTGGCTCCTTCTAATTCCTTTCCAGTTTTAGCAAGATGACATTTCCCTTGCCATCATTTCTTGGATTTGCCTCAGAATTACCAGAAAGTGCCCCAAATGGATGGATACTGATTGTACGGCTATTTGTGTAAAGCCCCATAATTTTTTAGCTTAAATTTTTGATAATTCAGGTTTAGTAATATAATTAAGGTGCCCGAAAGGTATAAGGACATACACATTCTAAATAAGGTATTTAAAAATATTTAAATATGTACATAGGATTAAAATTGAAAAAAAAACAAATAAGATAAACTGGGCCAAAGCCCAATAAGACTACATAGGAACTTATTTGATTAGAAGGGTTTCAAAGCTATATGCATTGGTCTTCCTTAGTCAATAACCAACGAGAGTAAAAGGGGCAAGAAACAGAGAAAAAATCCCTTTTTTTTGCTAACACATATAGCAACGAAAGAGAAACAGATTGAAATAACAAGCTACTACGGTAAACTCCACTTTCTTGTCTTTCTTTAACATTTTTAGTTTATTTTTCTTTTCCTACCATTATTTATCCACCATTAGTATATGCCTACTTGATTTAGAAAATCACAAAAAAATCAAATAGTTTGATTAGTATTGGAGGAGAGTACTCTTAGTTTACTCCGCATTAGCAAGGTTCAAAATAATTTAAAGTTTTGTTCTTTATATGGGGCATTGTGTTAGTTTGGAATAAGTTAACTAGGGATTGGATATGAATGTTAGTGAATAAATATTTTCACCTTTGAGGTACTCTGAATGCAATTAGTCTGATAGTTGGTTCTTAGTCCAATTAACCAGGAAAGGATTCTAAGTATAATATTTGGAAGAACTAATCTAAGTTAGTATTAGTTTGTTAGGATGATAATCACTGCCAATGGGATATTTCCCTTGGACAAGAGAATCATAAATAAAGGTATATTCTTTGAGCACGCACTAATGTAAATTGAACTTGATTATTTCATGTAAATTGAAAATTTGTGAATCGGGAGTGTTTGGAGGATACGTGAAGTCGAAGCTGAGCTAGATTTAAGGTGAGTTGAGGCTTACTCTCCCAATAGAAAATTCCATTAGAACCCCTGTACATGTGTTCAATAAATCTAAGCCATGTCTTCTTGCGATCCAAATATTACTTTCACTTCATTCTTATTCAGTACGATGAAACATGTGACAGAAATACATGCTCATTTGTATTGCCAGTCATTACATGTATTTGTTTGTGATATTTATATTCAGTTAAGTATTCAGTTTCAACATTAATTCATGCATTAATATGATCATTTAGTAGGGAGAAGTGGCCAACCTCCCCCAGCGTGAGTGCCATGATGCCAGGGTTAGTTACCCCACGCTTGCAGGTGCCAATTGTTTGTTGGGGAGATAGGCCGACACTCCCCCATACGTGTTCCCAGATGTTCACGTAAGCAGGGCTACTACGTGTACCGATTTTCAGAAAATGTTCAGTTTTGGCTTATAGTTCAGCTTATAGTATCAGCTTACAATTGATTACTTGCTTATAAAATTTTATATGATTTATAAGATTTTCGGTATGCCTGTTTTCTTTCATATTTTTCCCAGAAGGTCTCGCTCTGCCTTTTTAAAAGGTAGCCTATGAGACTTACTGGGTATCCTTTGGTGATACTTAGCCCGTTTGGGTCTGCTACGTCGTGTGGCAAGTATTGAGGACGCAGGTAACGAGGCACGTGACTAGAGAAGATATTTCGGATTTAGTTTACAGACTCCGTTGATTCATCCCAGTGGTAGCGGACTCTTTTCATACTGTTATTTCTTTTTAGATGTTTATTTTATTTTCGGGGAATGCCCTGCAGGCTATGTATTTCAGTTTTGTCAAAGTCTAGAGGCTCATGACTTGTTTGTGGGTTAGTATTAAGATATTTTAGGATTTATCCTTTATTGATTATTTTATCAGTCCGTTTAAGAACTGCAACTTGAGTAGAATGAATATTTAAGCGCATTAGGTTGGTTGCTATTGAATCTAAAGTTTTGATACAATTAGCACAGGGTTCACTCAACGAGTGGTAAGGGTGGAGTGCCTATCACGTCCCACCTCAGTTGGGGGCGTGACAAGGTGGTATCAGAGCAGCCAGGTTTGAGAAGTCATAGAGAGTCATGAGTCGTGTCTAGTAAAGTCTCATTTATGGGTATGTTGTGCATAATACTTATATTTGGGAGGCTGCAGGACATGTTAGGAAAACATTTCTTTCTTTGACTCTTACATTGTACGTTAGAGCTAAACATTTCAGAATTCTAACAATCCTTTTATCCCTCGTTTCAGAACAAAATGGTTAGAACAAGATCAACTTCATCATCTTATACTAACAATGTTGATATAGCAGCTGGTAATCATCAAGAAGCACCAGCAGAGGTGCATACTGCACCAATGGCACCAGCTACAGTTAGAGGACGTGGAAGAGGTAGAGATCGTGGTCAAGGTCAGAATGCTAGGGGTAGAGGTAGAAATGTCATAGGTAATCAGGCTCGTTGTAGGGCCACTGGACAGACATAGGCTCCACCTCAGTAGGCTGATAATGACCAGGTGGAAATCACACCCCCTCATAACCCACTCAGGGCAAATCAACCATAACAGCACGATGATCGAATTGCCAGAATTTTGGACTTTTTGGAGTCCCTAGCCCCTCCTGCTGGTGGTCGGGCTGCACCTATTCATGCTCCTCCTCAAGACCCTTATGATTCGGATGAAGAGATTATAGAAGATGATTTTCAAGCTCCACTCGAGGTACCACCACCAGTTGTCCCTGCAAATATTGCCCAGCTGGTGCAGTTACCAACAGGAAAAATTGATGCACATGCCTTTCTGAGATTAAAACCTCCTACTTATAATGGTACAGACAAGCCAAATGAACCAATGTTATTTTTGGAAGAGATAGAGGAAATGTTTGTTTCTTTGGGTTGTCTTGAAACACAAGCCACAGAGTTGATTGGGTTTCGATTGAAGGGAGCAGTAGGAAAATGATGGAGAGCTTACAAGAAGGCCAGAGATTCTACATTACCACCACTTACTTGGCCACAGTTCAAAGAAGCTTTCAGGGCCAAGTTTTTGCCTAACAGTCGGATAGATTAGCTCTGATGCCAGTTCGAACATCTTAAACAAGGTACCATATCAATGACTGAATATAAGATGGAATTTACAAACTTGGCAGAGTATGCCCCTAATTTAATACCGACAGAGAGAGAGAAAAAGTGAGAAGGTTCATTGAAGGCTTGAATCCACATATGGCAAAAGATATGACTTCACATCAGGATGACAAGACTTATCTTCAGGTTGTTAATATTGCTACGCGTAAGGAGGCTTTTGATAAAATTGCCATGGAAGCTAGAGATAATAATAAGAAGGCTAGAACAATAGGTAGTTATAGTGAACTTTCAGTTGGGGGTAAGAACACGAATCATTCAGCTCACATTCAATCAACAGCTCACTCGTCTCCTTATCCAGCTCCACTCACACATGGCCAACAAAGTAAGGGTCAGACCTATCAGGGGTCCATTGCAACCAGTCAAGTTCAACCTCGGTTCTCCTATCCTATATGTTCTTCGTGCAACAAAAGACATCCAGGGAAATGCCTTTTGGGTGATAAAGGTTGTTTCCACTGCCATGATCCAGGTCATATTAAGAAAGACTGTCCATGGCTTGGACAAGCTCCAGGGAAGGCTCCAACTTCTCAGGCAACGTCCATAGGTAATTCTGCAATTGCACCTCCTCATATTCGGGAACCTATTACTCAGACTAGGCGTGGTGCCAATAGAGGTGGAGCTCAGGGAGGAGGCGGACCAGCCAGATTCTATACAGTTCTAGACAGGCAGAATGCGGAGGCATCTAACAAAGTTATTACAGGTATTCTCTCAATTTGTGGTCGCCCTGCGTATGTATTGGTTGATCTTGGTTCAACTTTCTCCTATGTGTTTCCTTATTTTTGTGTCGAGTTTGAAAAAGCATCAGAACAATTAGGGGTTCCGTTTGAGGTTTCCACACCCATAGGGGAATCTGTTAAAGTTGAATATATATTCAAAAATTGCACCATCACAGTTCAGGGCCGGGAAACATCAGCCGATTTGAACTTATTAGATATGGTTGACTTTGACATCATAGCTGGCATGGACTGGTTATCTTCGTGTCATGCTATAGTTGATTGCCACGCGAAGACAGTTAAATTCTCATTTATTGGGGAAGATCCAGTTATAATTAGAGGTGAAGGGGGTACGTCTGTGGGTAAGTCTATTTCTTACCTTAAGGCTAGAAAACTAGTGAGCGGCGGGTGTTTGGCATATCTAGCACATGTGCGAGATATGAAAGTCGAATCCCCAATGCTTGAATCAGTACAGATTGTGAAAGAGTTTCCAGAGGTGTTCCCGGATGATCTCCTAGGGATACCACCAGATAGGGAGATTGAGTTTAGCATAGACACATTTCCAGGAACTCAGCCAATCTCGATTCCTCCTTATAGAATGGCTCCAGCTAAGCTAACTGAACTTAAGAAACAGTTACAAGACCTCTTAGATAAGGGTTTTATTCGACCTAGTATTTCACCCTCTGGTGCTCCAGTGTTGTTCGTGAAGAAAAAAGATGGTTCCATACGGATGTGTATAGATTACCGCCAGTTGAATAAGGTTATTATCAAAAACAAATATCCACTGCCTAGGATAGATGGCTAATTTGATCAGTTACAAGGTGCTAGGTATTTCTCAAAAATAGATCTAAGGTCGGGATACCATTAGTTGAAAATAAAAGAAGCAGACATCCCGAAAACAGCTTTCAGGACTTGGTATGGTCACTATGAATTTTTAGTAATGTCCTTTGGGTTGACCAATGCACCAGCAACTTTTATGGACTTAATGAATAGAGTCTTCAATCCTTTCTTAGATGCATTTGTTATAGCATTTATCGATGATATTCTGGTATATTCCCGTAGCCAAAAAGAGCATGAGAATCATTTGAGAACAGTTCTGCAAATACTCAAGGAGTGTCAGCTTTATGCCAAATTCTCCAAATGTGAATTTTGGCTCGATACAGTTACATTTTTGGGACACGTAATCTCGAGAGAGGGCATTAGAGTAGATCCATAAAAATAGAAGTAGTTAAAAATTGGCCTAGGCTGACGACCCCTATAGAGATTCGCAATTTTTTGGGATTGGCAGGTTACTACCGTCGTTTTGTAGAAGGGTTCTCTTCACTAGCTGCCCCATTGACAAAGTTAACTCACAAAGATGTGAAGTTTTAATGGTCTGAAGCTTGTGAGAAAAGTTTTCAAGAACTCAAGAACAGGTTGACTATAGCCCCAATCATGACTCTACCCAGCCCTACAGGTAGATTGTGATATATTATGATGCTTCCAGAGTAGGGGTAGGATGTGTTCTTATGCAGAATGACAAGGTAATTGCTTATGCTTCTAGGCAGTTAAAGAAGCATGAGAGAAACTATCCTACCCACGATCTTGAGCTAGCGGCAGTTATTTTTGCTATAAAAATATAGCATCACTACCTTTATGGAGAGCAATGTGACATTTATACATATCATAAAAGTTTACAGTATATATTCAAGCAGAAAGAGTTGAACCTGAGACAACGTAGGTGGTTGGAATTGCTTAAGGATTATGATTGCAATATCTTTTATTTCCGGGCAAAGCGAATGTGGTTGCTGATGCTCTAAGCAGAAGATCTATGGGGAGGTTGGCCAGGTTGTCTGTGGTTGAACGTCCAATAGTAACGGAAGCTCAACAAATAGCTATCCAAGGGGTTCGTCTTGATGAGAAGTATGATGGAAGGTTGATAGCAAGTATGGGTGCTAAGTCTACTTTAGTAGAGCAAGTTAAAACCAAACAATTCGATGATGCTAGCTTGTTTAAGCTCAAGGAAAGTGTCCTTAGTGGCAAGATTAAGAATTTTTCACTTGATGAGAATGGTGTGATGAGACTTAATGGTCGCTTATGTGTGTTTAATGTAGATGATCTTCGCAGAGTAATTATGATAGAAGCTCATAGCTCCAAATACTCAATACACCCAGGTTCTACTAAAATGTATCATGATTTGAAAGATATTTATTGGTGGGATAATATGAAGCGAGATATTGCAGATTTTGTATCGCAGTGCCTAAACTGTCAGCAAGTAAAAGATGAACATCAGAGACCAGGTAGCTTAGCTCAAGTCATTGAAATATCAGAATGGAAATGAGAACGAATAAATATGGATTTCATGGTTGGCTTGCCACAAACTTTTAAGAAACATGACTCTATTTGGGTCATAGTAGACCGACTCACTAAGTCAACTCACTTTTTGCCAGTCAAAACAACTTACACAGTACCCCAGTATGCAACATTATACATAAAAGAAATTGTTCAATTGCATGGTTCTCCTGAGTCCATTATTTCTGACAGGGGTGCTCAGTTTACTGCCCAGTTCTGGAAAAGTTTTCAGGAAGGTCTCGGTACCCGAATTAATCTAAGTACAACCTTTCACCCTCAAACGGATGGGCAGGCCGAGAGGACAATTCAGACCTTAGAAGATATGTTACGAGCATGTTTCTCGATTTTAAAGGAAACTGGGATGATCATCTGCCTTTAATTGAGTTCGCATATAATAACAGTTATCAAGCAAGTATTCAGATGGCCCTATTCAAAACACTATACGGTAAGAGGTGTCGTTCGCCTATAGGATGGTTTGAGATAGGTGAAACGAAGCTTATTGGGCCAGACATAGTACAAGATGCCTTGAGAAAAGTGAAACTAATTCAGGAACGACTTAAAATAGCTCAAAGCCGACAAAGGTCATACGCAGATATAAGACGCCGCGATCTTGAGTTCAAAGTGGGTGACTATGTATTTTTAAAGGTGTCTCCAATGAAGGGCATCATGAGGTTTGGTAGAAAAGGGAAGTTTAGCCCGAAATATATAGGGCCTTCTCCAATTCTTGAAAGGAATGGGCGTGTGGCGTATCGTCTAGCTTTACCTCCTGTGTTATCTTCAGTACATCTAATTTTTCATGTGTCCATGCTGAAAAAGTACTTTCACGACTCGAGTCATGTAATTGATAGGCAGGACATAGAGTTTGATGATGATACTCTGTCATATGAGGAGGTCCCTATAGCTATAATAGACAAGCAGGTTCGTAGACTTCGAACCAAAGATGTTGCTTTGGTAAAAGTAATATGGAGCAACCATTCAGCTGAGGAAGCTACGTGGGAGCCAGAAGAAGCCATGAAGAAAAAGTATCTCTATTTATTTGACATTCAGGTACATAATTTATTTAATGCTTTAAAATAATTTTTTTGGTAAGTTATGGGTGTTTGTACTTATAGTGATGTAAAGCAGCTTTAGCGGGTATATTGGTATGCCTTGATAATGTATTTTATTAGATTCAGCAGCTGGAGGTGCGAAAATATTATTGTTGGGTTGTTTGGATAGGTTGAAAATTTTGGATAGCTCCAGTTACAGAGGAAATTCTGCCGAACTATTTGGAAATTTTTGGAGTTAGACAAATTTTGGGGTCCTAAGATCTTTCTTTTAGACTAAAGGACAATTGCGACACAACATTCGGGGACGAATATTCCTAAAGCAGGGGAGAATATAAAGCCCCATAATTTTCTAGCATAAAACTTTGATAATACAGGTTTAATAACATAATTAAGGTGCCCGAAAGGTATAAGGACATACACAGTCTAAATAAGGTATTTAAAAATAATTAAATATGTACATAGGATTAAAATTGAAAAAAAAAACAAATAAGATAAACTGGGCCAAAGCCCAATAAAACTACATAGGAACGTATTTGATTAGAAGAGTTTCAAAGCTATATGCATTGGTCTTCCTTAGTTAGTAACCAACGAGAGTAAAAGGGGCAAGAAGCAGAGAAAAAAAATCCCTTTTTTTGCTAACACCTATAGCAACGAAAGAGAAACAGATTGGAATAACAAGCTACTACGGTAAACTCCACTTTCTTGTCTTTCTTTAACATTTTTAGTTTATTTTTATTTTCCTACCATTATTTATCTACCATTAGTATATGCCTACTTGATTTAGAAAATCTCAAAAAGATCAAATAGTTTGATTAGTATTGGAAGTGAGTACTCTTAGTTTACTCCGTATTAGCAAGGTTCAGAGTAATTTAAAGTTTTGTTCTTTATTTGGGGCATTGTGTTAGTTTGGAATAAGTTAATTAGGGATTGGATAGGAATGTCAGTGAACAAATATTTTCACCTTTGATGTACTTTGAATGCAATTAGTCTGATGTTGGTTCTTAGTCCAATTAACCAGGAAAGGATTCTAAGTATAATATTTGGAAGAACTAATCCAAGTTAGTATTAGTGTGTTAGGACGATAATCACTGTCAATGGGATATTTCCCTTGGACAAGAGAATCGTAAATAAAGGTCTATTCTTTGAGCACGCACTGATGTAAATTGAACTTGATTATTTCATGTAGATTGAAAATTTGTGAATCGGAGTGTTTGGAGAATACGTGAAGTCGAAACTGAGCTAGATTTAAGGTGAGTTGAGGCTTATTCTCCTAGTAGAAAATTCCATCAGAACCCCTGTACTCCATGTGTTTAATAAATCTAAGCCATGTCTTCTTGCGATCCAAATACTACGTTCACTTCATTCAGTACAATGAAATATGTGACAGAAATACATGCTCATTTGTATTGCCAGTCATTACATGTATTTGTTTGTGATATTTATATTCAGTTAAGTACTCAGTTTCAACATTAATTCATGCATCAATGTGATCATTTAGTAGGGAGAAGTGGCCAACCTCCCCCAGCGTAAGTGTCATGATGCCAGGGTTAGTTACCCTACGCTTGCAGGTGCCAACTGTTTGTTGGGGAGATAGGCCGACACTCCCCCGTACATGTTCCCAGATGCTCACGTACGCAGGGCCACTACGTGCACCGATTTTCAGAAAATGTACAGTTTTGGATTACAGTTCAGCTTATAGTATCAACTTACAATTCATTACTTGCTTATAAAATTTTATATGATTTATAAGATTTTCGGTATATCCGTTTTCTTTCATATTTTTCCCAGAAGGTCTCGCTCCGCATTTTAGGAGGTAGCCTATGAGACTTACTGGGTATCCTTTGGTGATACTTAGCCCGTTTGGGCCTGCTACATCGTGTGGCAGGTATTGCGGATGCAGGTAACAAGGCACGTGGCTAGAGGAGATATTCCGGATTTAGTTTACAGACTCCGTTGATTCATCCCAGCGGTAGCGGACTCTTTTCATACTATTATTTCTTTTTAGATGTTTATTTTATTTTCGAGGAATGCCCTGCAAGCTATGTATTTCAGTTTTATCAAATTCTAGAGGCTCGTGACTTGTTAGTGGGTTAGTATTAAGATATTTTAGGATTTATCCTTTATTGATTATTTTATCAGTCCGTTAAGAACTACGACTTGAGTAGAATGAATATTTAAGTGCATTAGGTTGGTTGCTATTGAATCTGAAGTTTTGATACAATTAGCACAGAGTTCACTCAACGAGTGGTAAGGGTTGAGTGCCAATCACGTCCCACCTCAGTTGGGGGCGTGACAATTTGCGTGACAATTTGCCTAACCTGGCTCCAAGATACAAATGGAGGCAATATGACTTTGTATGGCAGAGTATGTCTTTGCCATGTATACCTCTGTCTTTACCATGAATGGAAACATCTCTACTACGAACTCTTTGAGGACATATTCCGAAGATGGATTCTTGTCAACTTGTGGAGATAGTGGGATATCCTTTCTTGATTCTAAAAAATAGGTGGATTTGTAGGCTTCACCACATTTGAAGTGCCCTGATTTCCACTCTATGAAAAACTGAAATGATTTCTCCTCCCAGCATTATAAATTTCGGAATATGTTAATTTGGCTCCTATTGAAGTTCTTCACATAATTCACCAAATCGGGTTTGCCAAGCATACTTCCAAGTTCCAATAGTGTGTCCATCTCCACATAGTGACAAACTAGAAGACTGCATTTCCTCCTAGGTGCACCACCTGCTGTACCCTTCATTATACTCCTAGTTTGCACAACAAAACCAAAGGTTTAAAGCTGAATCCATGGTAAAAATCCAAAATGAGGGCATCCTCTGCAAGTCCTTATGGAACATGTTCCATTCCTCAAATATACTATTCGATGCTACTTTCCCTGAGATGCTTGAACATACCCTTGATGTGCTCATGACAAATATACTATCACCAATAGTCTCTGCAGGAACATGCTCCATTCTCAAACTTATGGAACCTATTGGCATCTCTGACTAGAAGTATTTTCTTGAAAATCTTTGACAAACCCTTGATGTACTCATGACAATCTCCACAAACTCTCAAGTTTTTAAAAACACGAATAGGCTTCCCCTCAATTTCATCCCCACCCGAAAGCAGCGCCAAACCAATTGCCAATTTCTCGCTGTGAAATCTCAGGCTCTCATCCTTCGTTTCTTCTTCAACATCGTGTAATGAAAAGCTTGCTTCTCGTGTGTAACCAAATTCATCTTTCATTTTCTTCTCCATCCTATACAAAAACTCATGGATAGCTTTTGTAAGTGGGTGTGTCTCATCTCTATTGAAGAAAAAGTGCATTTTCTTGTCAATCTCCACCCAACTTTGTCCTGCTTCTTTCTTTAAACCTTTTGCTTTCACCAGTCCTCTTAATCCCTCACATTCTTCCCACCGGCATGCATCAGCAAAAATGTTTGACATCAAAACATAATTCACAGGATTATTGCCATCTAATTTCAAGAGAATCTCCCCAACTTCTCTTCCTATTTCAACATTCTTGTGCACTCTACATGCACTAAGCAGTGTCTGCCAAATGCCGACATTTGGTTTTAGCGGCATGTTCTCTATCACAACTTT